GGGGGGCTGCTTTGTGCTGTTGGGATAAATGATCCCCCTCCCTTTCCTCCCCCCTGCCCAACGAATCGCCTCCCTTGTGTTTAGGGATTGGGGGGGGGGGGGGGGGGGGGGGGGTACCCCTGTGGGGTGGGGGGTGGTTTGCTGACACCCCCAGCTTCTCCCTGTGTCTTTCTGCTGTGCCCCCTTCCCCCAATTCTGGGGGTCTCTCATCCACAAATGATGCTGGGGGTGGTATTTCAAGGAGCTGCTTGGTGAGGTGTCCCCTCTCCAGTGACCTCCATGGTGGGTTGAGGGAAGGGGATGAACAGCCCTGGGGACCCAGTGGGGCTATGAGGGGGCAGAGGGGGGCAAGGATCCGGCCTTGCTGTTCCATCCTGGGAATCCCCCATTCCCACAGCTCAGCCCCACAGAGCTGTGCCAGCAGCTGGGGGTGAGGGGAAATCCCTGCTGCTTCCCCATGTGGGCTCTGGGGCTGGAACAGTGGGCAGGAAGCAACTGTGGGGCTGGGATCTCCCCATTTCCCCTTCAGTCTACCCCATCACAAGCACAGCGGTGTCAGTGTGGGAACCCTTCCCAGTAAAACCCCAAAAGTGTTTTTGCAGGCAAGAGAGCATCTCTCAGCCTGTGGTCTGGCACCACGCAGTGCCCCTTTTGGGGGTGGGGGGGGGATGGCTGGGGCTGTCCCCACACGGGATATTCTCTCTTTCTCCAGGCTAAGCGCAAACTGGACCTGGAGGGCCCTGAGCTCCACACACCGAAGGGGAAGGGCAGGACTCTGGTACAGGTGCCCAGCCCCAGGAGTAAGTTTGGGGCTTTGGAGGGCAATGGGAGGGGTGTGGGGTAGAGGGGCGAAGCCCATTTCCCGGTGCCGCACTGTGTCCCCCCTCCAGCTCTGCCTGAGGTGACCCCCAGGAGCAGCGCTCTGTGCAGCTCTGTGTGCTGTTTCAGTTCACTGCATGGGCGCTGAGCTCCTGGGGCAGGCAGGGGATGTGTGGGGTATTTCTCCACCAGCCGAGGGGTTATGCTGGGTTTAATGGTCCCAGCATCCCAGGCTGAGGAGGCATTTTGTTGAGGGGGGGGGTTCTCTCCTTGCAGCCCCCAAGTCCCCGGGTGAGAAGACACGCTATGACACCTCGCTGGGGCTGCTCACCAAGAAGTTCACCCTCCTGCTGAGCGAGTCACCCGATGGAGTGCTGGACCTCAACCGCGCCGCTGAGCTCCTGGAGGTGCAGAAACGCCGCATCTACGACATCACCAACGTCCTGGAGGGCATCCAGCTCATCCGCAAGAAGTCCAAGAACCACATCCAGTGGATGTAGGCAGCGCTGGGGAGCGGGGGGAAGGGATGATGGGGTGATGGAGGGGGTGTGAGGTGCTCAGGGGACCGTCTCTGCTTGCAGGGGGACGGGGATCTTTGAGGATGCGGCGGTGGCAGCCAGGCAGCAGGTGCTGCGTGGGGAGGTGGCTGAGCTGGGCAGAGCAGAGAAGGCTCTGGACCAGGTCCTGCAGGAGTGCAGCCTGCGGCTGCGGCAGCTGACGGATGATGGAGCCAACCAGAGATATCCTTTTGCTGAGGGAGATGGGGCTGGAGGGCTTGGGTACCCCCTCCGAGTTCCTCTCCATCCCTTTGGCTTCCCTGGGCAGGTGTCTGTGTGTCACTGAGGCCGATGTTTGGGTGGGGAATTCACAGAATCACAGAATGGCCAGGGTTGGAAGGGACCTCAAGGATCACGGATCTCCCACCCCCCTGCCACACGCAGGGCCACCAAGCTCCCCATTTAATACCAGCCCAGGCTGCCCAGGGCCCCATCCAACTGAGCTGTCCTCCTCGTGGCCTTACTTTTTCCTATGCCTCGTCCCACGCTGGCGTACGTCACCTACCAGGACCTCCGTGCCATCAGCAGCTTCCAGGAGCAGACAGTGATTGCTGTGAAAGCCCCCCCGGAGACACAGCTGGAAGTGCCTGACCTCAGCGAGGTGTGCATGGGGTCAGGAAATGGGGTTGGTGCTGGGATGCTGCCATACTGTCCCAACCCCGGGTCCCATGGGTGCTGCTGTATCGCCCTGAGCAGTGTTGGGGTTTCTCCGTGGGTTTTGGTGTTGGGTGGTGCTGTGTGGGACCAGGGGATGGACTTGGTGATCCGTGTGAGTCCTTTCCAAGTGGGGACGTTCTGTGATAGTTTAGGGATGTGGGCTGGGCTCTGGGCACCTGCTGAGCCCTCGCTCTGCCCACCCAGGACAACCTGCAGCTGCACCTGAAGAGCACCAATGGTCCCATTGAGGTCTACCTGTGCCCAGAGGAGATCCTGGAGGACAGCCCTACCAAGGACCACGACGTCCCCTCCAGCCCTGTGCTGCGGGACAGCAGCACCCAGCCCTCCTTTCAGAACAGCCCAGAGCCCCCCATATCCCTACAGCCGCCCGAAGGCCACCGTGCCCCATCCTTATCCCCGTCCCCTCCCCTCTCCAGCCCTGCAGAGCCCCACTCACTGCTGGAGGTGGGCGCAGGGCTGCTGGACTCCCCCCATCACCTCTTGCAGCAGACAGAGGACCAGCTGCCCTGCGCCCCTTCCTATCTGGACTCGGTGCCCTTCATCCCCTTCTCACCCCCCCTGGAGCAGGATGAATACCTCTGGGGGCTGGAGGGTGGCGAGGGAGTCAGTGACCTCTTTGAGGCCTATGACCTGAGTGAGCTGCTGCAGGACTGAGCCTCCTCCGTTCCCAACTGCTCCATCCCTGTCCCCACGGCTGGGGAAGGGGCACAGTGCCTCGGGTGGCTTTGCTGGGGGGAACTGGGGGTCTCCACCCCAACTGCCCCATGGGCTGCTGGCAGACCTTTGGGTGCTTGGATACCGCAGGCCTTTGGGTACGGGGTTGGGGGCACCCACCTAGCAGTAATGGGGCCCCTGCCAGAAGGAGCTGTGTTGGGGAGTGGGGAGGGGGTCACGTTTTGGGGGCACTCCAGTTGCTCCTCAGTTAGAGTGGTGCTTTGGGGTGGCGGATGCTCATTTGGAACCCTGTGGGGCACCTCCAGCTGTGTGGGTTGGAGCTGACGGTCGAGAGGCACTGAGCACAGAGACGCTCCCTCTGCTGTCACTGAAATGTCAGTAAGGAATAACGAGCTGAGGTGGAGGCAGATTTCCTTCCAGAGGGGGATGCTCAACTTGGGGGTGGGGGCACTTCGCCTGCAGCCTCTTAAAACAGAGCCGTGGGCAAATCCATGTGCCGTGATGGTGCTTGGGGGGATGGATACTGGGGCTTAATGGGGCAGAGAGGTGGCAGTTGGTACCTGTGGGGGGATCAGGAGCAGCGTGGGGCACATCAGCTGCATCACTCTCCCCTCACTGCAGAGGCTTTAGCATTGCTGGGGCTGTGCAGAGGTTTTCCTCTGGATGGCATCGGGCTGCGTGTGGCCATGTGGGTTCTCTCCATCCTGGTGATGTGGGGTCAGCGTGGCCCTACCAGCACAAGGGATACACCCCAGGGAAGTCCTCCCCATGGAAAAACACGTGTTAATTATTGCACTGTATTTATACAGGACCCCCCTCTGACACGGTGCTGTTGGGGGTTCGGGATTCAGTTTCTGAGTGTATTTAAGTTGTCCTTCTTGGGTTTGCTCTGCTGCAGTTTGGTTGGGATGCGGTGTGGGTGAGAAATGTGTGGCATGTGGTGTTCTCTGCCTGGGAGGGGATGAAAGGAGATGAAATAAAACTCATGAGTTGTCAGCAAAGTACCGGCGTTGTTCATGGTGTGTTTTGGATGTTCAAGGTCTGCTGGTACCCAATGATGTCTGTTGATGTCTGGTGGTAACCTGTTATGTCCAGTGGTACCCAGTGATGTCCAGAAATACTCTGTGTCTGCTATTACCCTGTGGTACCCTATGATGTGGAGTGGTACCCAGTGATGTCCAGTGATTCTCAATGTCTGATGATACCCAGAGATGTCTGGTGATGTCCAGTGATGTCTGGTGGCACCCTGTGGTGTCAGTGATACTCAACGTCTGGTGATGCCCAAAGATGTGGAGTGGTACCCAGTGATGCTCAGTGCCTGATGATACCCAGTGACACCCAATGATGTTAAGTGGTACCCACTGATGTCTGGTGGTAACCAGGGATGTGCAGCAATACTCAGTGCCTGGTGACATGCAGTGATGTCCAGTGGTTGATATCCAGTGGCACTCCGTGATGCCTGCTGGTATCTGGAGCCGTACTGGGATTGCATTGCTCATCCAGAGGACGAAGAGGAAGAAGAGGAGGTGAGCTGGGTGAGCGGCACCGAGCGTTGTGCCCTCAGCCCCGTCCCCGTATCCCCGTAGCTGCCGATGCTGGGCAGTCCCCGTAGCGGCCGGGAGGTGGCGGGGCCACCCCAGGATAGGGATGCTGTGCTCGGGGTCCAGCCTCCCTCCAAGCCCTGAAGATGCCCAATGTTTGGTGGGGGGTCCCCAGCCAGGACCCAACCAGCAGCCCCTACATTTCTTCCAAAGCGGCAGGACCCAAAACCTCTTCACCCTGTGCCTGCCAGACCCCTACCGAGGGAAACGTTACCCTGTGAGCAGTGTGGGCTGCTGGGATTTTGCCAGCGTCAAAATCTGCAGCAGAACCGGTCTGAATGTTTGTTTGCAGGACCGGATGTTTGCAGGACGCTGCAGGTGCAAGAAAGAAAAGGAGCGGGGGGGGGGCGGCGGTGTAGGCGGGTTTAGGGGCTGCATGGGTTTGGGGCGCTGAATGGGGCCCAGGGTAACTTGGAGAGAAGGGAAAAAAGCAGACGGAGGTTTGACCCCCCCCCTCAACCTGCCCTAAGTGAAGGGGCTTCTATAGAGCAGCCTCGTGCTTGTGAGCCCCCCCCCCAACGTTCCTGGAAAGAGATTG